TTTGCTTATGCACCCATTTGTCTTCAGCGATCGTATCAGGGAGGTGAGCACACAATGGCATGATTCTTTGTTCTGATGATGCCTGATAACTGATCCCTTGGGCACCTCGTGATCACACAGGGTCCTGTCGGCTTGTAGAGCACAGAAGCCTGAAGGAACGAGACCAGGAAGGTAGGGTGGACAGGGTGAGATCTCCCAACAAAATTCTCCTCCTTCAGCGGAGGAGCCACGCACTGCCGCGAAGGGAAGATGTCCTCAGCGCAGCTCTCCTGGCCTTGGCCTCACCCACAGAGCCCTCTGTTTTCTCTGACACCGTCTGTCACGGCGACTTCTTTTAAGTCCTCCCCGCCCCCCCAAAGAAAAGACAGTAGTCATAACCTTCTGAGCCGTGAATAGAATGGTCCCAGCAGGCCCCCTGCGACACTGCTATTTGGATCGGCTCTTTCGATGGAAGACTCCTTAATGAGACAAGGACACACGTACTGCCGAGGGAGCGTGGCTGCAGCCATCCGCTGACCACAGACGTGTCCAAACACGGCGTGTCTGCAGTGAGCTCACACACGCACAAACGGGAACCAGACCGCGGCACTAGCCCTCGTGGCATCATGGCTTGCATTCCGGGCTATGAACCACAAGGTCAGCACTCTGAACCCACCCGCTGCCCTGCCAGAGGAAGATGAAGCTGTCTGCCCTGTGAACATGTTCAGAACCCCACGGAACAGCTCCACAGGGTGGCCGTGAGTCACCACGGACCTGATGACAGTGTGCGGCGTTTGGCTCACATTCCAACGCAGCTTCTCCTTAGTCACATTCCCAAAACGGCTGAAGCCATCTCATACCACCCAGCAGAAGAAGAGGGGGCACGGAAGGAAGCCAGAGGGGAGCGAGACAGAGGGCCTCTCCACACGTCGTTGGGAAATCTTGCTTTTGCACTTCCTGAGCAGAAGCACGCGGCACCCTTCCCCGGCTCCGACCCTGAAATGGCAGCAGATCCTTGCCGGCTGTGAGGAGCCCGGCAGTAAGTCAGAGCTCTTCCTCCTGGAAGAGTTGGGTGAAGGCCCCTTCCTCCGACCCAGGAGAAATAGAAAGCTGAGGCGCGGAGCGAGAGAGCAGGACATAAGCTACTGGCCGGGCCTGAGAAATAACCAGGAGGCAGGCCAGAGACAAGGGTAGGCCTTAAAGCCTAGAACAAAAACCCAAACCAAGCACGCTGCCATGGAGTGGATTCTGACTCACGGCCACCCCGGGGGCTCCACAGCGCTGCCTTGGCAGAGACTTTCCATAGGGGCCGGGTCTGAACCGGCCCCCTTTCTCGGGGGAGCGGATCAGGGCACGCCGGTCAGTGGTCCAGGGATGGGAACCGATAAGTACAGAGAGTGGACAAGCCAGAGGGCCCCACGCTGACGAGGAGAGGGGAGGACAGGGGACCTATGGCAGGGTGGACCAGCCATGAAGGGCTGGCTTGGGTGCAGATGGGTGGAGTCTAATGATGGTTCACAGTTGAGGGCGGGGCTGGGACTCAGGTGGCCCACCTGAGAGATAAGTGGGACTCTACAGACCCAGGACATGGATAGGAAGAATGAGAGTGAAGCCCCTAGTGGAGAGATCCAACCCACAGAGGAGGAACAGAGTCTAAAGGTGAGCGGGGTGGGGAGGGGTGGTGGAACTAAATTGGGTGGGTTCTAGAAACAAGAGCTCAGGGCCACCTGGGACAACCCCCTTTAGCCCCCAAGCACCAGCCGGGGACACGGGGAGTAAGGTGGCCCTGCGCATCTCCGTGTTCTTCCTCCCCCATCAGTCAGAGAAGGCGGCCACGAAGATCCAGGCGTGGTGGCGGGGCACCATGGTGCGCAGCTCCTTGCTGCACATGGCGCTCAGGGCCTGGGTGATCCAGTGCTGGTGGAGGTCCCTGCAGGCCCAGAGGCTGGAGCGGAGGCGGAGCCTGGCGCTGAGACTCTACACCTGTCAGGAGTGGGCGGTGGTGAAGGTGCAGGCCCTCGTCCGCATGTGGCAGGCCCGCCGACGCTTCCACCAGGCCCGCCAGGCAGCCTGCATCATCCAGTCCTACTGGCGCTGGCACAGCAGGCAGACCCGAGGCCTGATCCGGGGCCGCTACGAGGTCAAAGCCAGCAGGCTGGAGCTAGACATCGAAATCCTCCTGACCTAGGGCCCTGGCGGGCCGAGGAGGCTGGGTCTCTTGCCCAATAAAGACGTTTACTGGCTATAGACTTGCCCCGTGGAGATCAGACATGTGGAAGAAGGATTAGCTCCCAACTTTCCGGCCTCCCACCCAAAACAGCACCCTACCTGCACCCCACTATGGTGTAGTCTGCACCCTCTGTCCCGGGGTGCCACTTTAGGCCCCGTTCCCAAATGACAGGTGTGACCTTCCCGGGGGTGGGAGTGGGGTCTAAAAGACAAGACCCCGGCCAAACTCAGGGGCCTCAGCCAACCAGTGTCCAGCCAGCTGGCCAAGTCTGGGTGGGAACTGGGCTGTGTTTTCCTACAGCCCCTGCCTGGGCGTCTCACTCAGGCAGGACATCGGGCAGTCTGCCGACAGCAGGGCAGTCATGAGAAGACCAGGGCTCCTCGGCTGTGCTTGGCAGGGACCCGGAAGGACAGGGCCCCTCGGGTGAACAGCCACAGGGCGGGCACTGTGCCTCATGGGAGTGTGTGTGTGTGTGTGTGTGCGCGCGCGCCTGCCAGCCAGAGCCAGCCCCCGGGGGAGACAAGGCAGGAGCTGAGGAGCAGCAGCGGTGCCTGTTGCCTCCCTCCCGCAGGGCTTCCTCCGCTCTGCAGGACACTTCCTCCCGGGAGAACAAGGCACATGGTGGGGGAGGGGCGAGGAACAGGGAGAGCACGGGGTGGGGGTGCGGGGGGGGGGCGGCCCACCGGGCAGGACAATGGCCTGGGGGCGCACCCTCTAAATCCTACCAGTCCGCAGACTCAGTTATGCTGCAAAGCCATCCCCACGATCTCCATCCTTCTCAGAGGCTGCCCCACCCACTGCTGCCCCTGCCCTGCAAGGGGGGATGGGGGGTTGCTGATGGCAGAGGCTCCCTCTGTCCCACACGGTGTAACCGTCTGGCACCAGGTCTCTCACCGTCTGCTTTGTCACCAGGCCCAAGAGCTCCCCTCCTCACTCTCTCAGCGGCCTGAGGGCTGTCACCTTCCCCCAGGGCTCGTGATTCATGGGCTCTGCACAAGTGTCCGAAGAGCAGTTAGGGAGATGTGCTGGGGGGTGGGGGTGGGGGCTGTCTGGGCCTCAAGGCTCAGTGAAGCTGCCCCTAATCCCAGGTTCCTCGTGCGGGGGGGCAAGGGGAGAGGTTTGCAGAACAAGTGTGGCCGATCGGAGATCCACGATCCGCTAGTAGCTGAAGTGGCCGTGACACTGCCGGGCCCATGGCCGTATTGGCTGGACTCCATCCTTGGGCTGACGCTAAGATAATGAGCAACACCCGTCGGTCTGCCCAGGGGAACCCCATTCAGGAGCGCCCGCCGGGCACACCGCTCTCCTCCATCAGGCTGAGCAGCGGGAGAAGGCCCCCTCGCTCGGCTGGCGGGGACTGGGGGGCCCTGACTAGGCCCCTCAACGCCGCTCTGGGGGTTGGCGGTATATACAACCTGCTCTGGAAGGGGTTCATCTCTGGTTCTACACACACGCAGGGCATTGGAATCACCCGGGAAACATTGTTGTCATCGTTGCTAGGCACCTTCAACTCGCGTCGGATAGAGTCTCAAAGCGACCGGACGCTCCACAGAACAAAACCCTGCTGGCTTCTGCGCCACCCTCACCACGGTATGTCCGAGCGACGGAGTGGCTCCAGCTCATCACGGGCCTCCTCTTTTCCTCTACCGTCAACTCTACCAAGCAAGATGCTCTTTGCCGGGAGCAGTCCCCGATAACACGTCCGAAGACCTGGGCGAGACCACGTTTCACCCCCTCGCTTCTCAGGAGCACCCTGCTTGCTCTTCTGAAGTCTGTACCCCTCCCCGTGCTTCTCCAGCAGCCTCGTCCGAAGGCGTGGACGTGTCCTATTCAATGTCCAACCCGCACGTGCATAGGAGGGGGGCCACGGACACGGCGTGGCTCGGGTCCGGCACACCTTAGTCCTCAAAGAGACATCCTTGCTTCTCAACGCCTGAAAGATGTCTTGCGTAGCAGCTTCACCCCACACACTACTTCGTCTTGATGTCTTGCCTACTGTTTCCAGGAGCACTGATTGTGGATCCCATCAGCTGAAACCCTTGACAAATGCAGTCTTTTCTCCTGAGGTGACCTACTGGTCCCTTGGTGATGGCTGGGGTTTTCTTTACAGTCCACACCGAAGGCTACAATCCTTGGTCTTCGTCATCACGTGTTCAAGGCCTCCTCTCTTTCGTCAAGCCAGGCTGTGTTGCCTGCCCATCGGCAGTTGTTAACCAGCCTTCCTCCAACAACCCTGACCCCCGTTCTTCTCCGTGTAGTGCACCGCCTCAGAGTATCTGCTCAGCACACAGATTGAATAACTAGAGTGAGTGTCTACAACCCTGACACAAACCTTTCCTGGTTGGAAACTGTGCTGTATCGCTTTGTTTGTTTAGAATGACCATCTCCCGGTCTGTGCACAGGTTCTGCAGGAGCCCGATGAAGTGCTCCGGAATCCCCAGGCTTGCAATGCCATCCACAGGTTGTTAGGCGCCACACAGCCGAGCGCCTTTGTGTAGACGACAAAAGCACAAGGAAACACCTTTTTGGGGGTGTCCTCCCATTTCAGCAAAGGTCCCTCTGACATCAGCAGTGATCCCCTTTGTGCCCGTCCTCTGCTGAATCTGGCTCGGATTTCTGGCAGCTCGGCATCGACATACTGCTGCAGCCATTGTCGAAGGGTCTCCGGCAACATTGAATCACGTGTAAGATCGGGGTGATGGTCTATAATTTCCGAATTCTGGTGAGTCACCCTCCTTTGGAAAGGGTGCAGATAAGCATCTCTTCCAGTCTTTGGGCCTGGCAGCTGTCTCCACATTTCTTGGCACAGGTCAAGGTGCGTCTCCAGGGCTTCATCCGCTGTGGAAGCATGTCCATTGGCAGCCCATCAATTCCCGGGCCTTGTGTCTCACCAATGCTTTCTGTGCGGCGTGGACTTCTTCCCTCGGTACCAACCAGTGCTCGGCCATATGCTCCTCTTGACCAAGTCTTTTTGGCACAGTGACTGTATTCCTTCCCTTTTCTTTTGAGGACTCCTGAATCCCTCGATATTTTACCAGAGAATCTTTCAATATTGCAATTGGAGGCTTAATTTTTTTCCCCAATTCTTTAAGTTTGAGCATGTTATTCCTTTTGGTTTTAGCTGCTGATAATCCAACTTTTCCATTGTGTCTTCCCAGAAACTTAGTCCGTCAGATCCCTGTGGATTCCACCCGGAAGACCCCATGTGTACAGATTTCATTTATATTGTTGGAAAAGGTATTCACAATGAAAAAATTTGGGTCTTACAAAATTCTATCATCCAATCTCCAGCGTCATTCCTATCAATGGGGCTGTATTTTCCAACCACAGTTCCTTCCTCTTTGATTTGAACTTTCACATTCCAATCGGAAATACTATCAATGCATCTTGATTGCATGTTTGATCAACTTCAGACTGAAGAAGTGGGTAGAATTCCTCGATTTCTCCATCACAACCAGCTTCAGTGGACAGTGCGTCAACTTGTGTAACAATTGTAGTGACTGGATATCCTCGGATGCATATAGATATTTTCCTATCCCAGACAGCACTGTGCTTTTAGTACTGAGGGGTACCCCCAAAACATGAATTGTGCTGGGCAGAGCTGAGCTCTCATAGTGCGCATTTTTTTCCCACTAAGTGAGCATCAAGCAACTTGCTCTGAGTTAGTGCACCCTAGGAAGGTTCTCTCTGGTCACAGTGAAATTTTTCATAAAAGCAGTTTCGCTCAAACCTTGTTTTTGGTGATGGCTGTTTTAAGAGAACAGCATGCAGCTGTGAAATTCTGTTTCCTGCTCAGGGAAAAATGCCACAGAAATAGTGATGTTGAACATAGCTTACCAGGACAGCACTCTGGGAAAAACTCAAGTGTACAAGTGGTTTTCTTGTTTCAAAAAAAGGTGAAATGTCGATTGATGACAAGCCTCGTTCTGGATGTCTATCAACTTCCCGAACAGATGAAAATGTTCCACCAGGTCAGATTGTTAATCAAGCTTTCTATTTAGAGGTTTGGAAAAGATTGAGACAAAAAAGGCCTGATTTGTGGCAGACGGGGACTGGTTTTGCCACCACGACAATGCACCTGCTCACTCAGCCATCTCAGGGTGTCAGTGTGGGGCAAAAAACTAGCATCCCTCTCTTGCCCCCCACACCTGACTCACCTGACCTTGCTCGGTGCGACTTCTTTTTGTTTCCATGAGTGAAGAGGGACCTAAAAGGACGCGATTTGATGAAGTAGAAGAGGCTAAGAAAAGAATGAGGGAGGTGCTGTCAGCCATCCAAACAGATGAGCTTGAGAAATGTTTCCAAGACGGAATCACAGAGGGCAGGAAGAGCGGGGAGGGAGGGGCAGACACGAGGAACCGATACCAAGGGCTCAAGTAGAAATCCCATGTTTTGAGAATGATGAGGGCAACAAATGTGCTTGACACACTGGATGGATGTGTGGATTGTGATGAGTTGAACAAGCCCCCAATAAAATGATTAAAAAAAAGAACGGAATCGCAGATTTGACAAATGTCTTAAAAAAATAAAATAAAATGTCAAGTGTCATGGAGAGTACTTTGTAGGTGATAAGAATGTTTTGTAAAAGTCTTTAAAATACACAGCTTTGTGGGGGTCTGCTTTGTTCTTGAGGGCGACTCACGTAGCTAGTAGGATGTCCTCGGGGCAATGACTGTGGCAGTAGTTGTCTGAGTTTGTCACTGTAAGCACAGTGCACCATCGGATCTTCTGAGTCAGATGGCCAACCCCACTCCACCTGAGCTCCGTCATGGTGAGGACAGACATCTGTACACGTTCGTTTCATTTCTGACAACTCTCGATTTCCCTAGGTTCCTACATCGTACACGATTCATCGATTTACAGCTCTTCCTTATCATTTTGAGTCGTGCCCCCCCCCACCAGATAAGGGCCTGGAAATGCTACTGCAGCCCCTCACTGCGGTGGGGGCTCTACTGTGA